CCAAAAAGTGGGTAGTTCCACAATTAGTTCTGGTACTATGAAAAGGTTCCCGCGGTGCGAAAGGCCCTAATAGCAACAATGATACTTGCACAACTAATAATATCACAAGTCTTTATTAATCTGAATAATGGAAATCAAGCACCACAAGTGACTGTCATGTAGGTATCAAACGCTAGTATCAATGTCTCTATCTTTCAGGATTACGGAGTCACCTGTGCAAATGTCAAACAGATCTTCCTGAGAATCCTTGAATATTGCTTTATACAACAAGATGAGGTGTTGCTAAGAGCACTCAGTGTTGTTCTTCTCTGTCTTGATTACAAGAGCCGGGTCAGAATAACTAAAGTCTGCACTGACCCAGATAATCAGCGCCACAGAAAGTCAGTTAACTGTCTCTTGTTCTCAAATACTCTCTCTCTCTCTCTCTCTCTCTCTGTTGTTGTGAGGAGAATCAGTATTAATCCGTCCCAGAGCAGATAACTCACTTTACACTGATCTGCAAGAACACAGGAAGCAAACACATTAAACCATCAACAAAATGCTCCAGAGGGAGCTCGTATGCATCTTGCTGTGTCAGAGGATACTGCTTTTATCTTCATCAGAATGATTCTAATTGCACTTTACTGGGTCAAAATGAATTACATTAGATACCTCTTGTCTCTTCCTCCCTCTCTATCTGTTACAAACACACATAGTTATGTTTCTGCATAATGTGGCCAGTGAAAGTGGATATATTTAGTGTGCTAATCCACAAGAGCAGTGGGACAGATGCTTGTCATACTGACCTCTTGTGTCCCCTGTGCAGATGTCTGCCCTCCCAACAATGTGGAGGTGGTTACGTCTTCATTGAACAGGTTTCCATTAATCTGACTCCCTGCAACCTATAACCATTCCAGTTCATTTAAAGGGGTTATAATAACTGTTGTTTATCTTTTATCATTATTATTATTTATAATGATAAATGATGTCAGCAAGGTTTATTGCATTAAGAAGAATCGTAAATTGTCTTTATAATAATAATTTGTAATATAAAATGTCATGATATTTCCTTGTCTCGGTAAATAAACTTCTCACTAAAACAGAGTACTTCCTCACTGACACGTCTGCTTTTACTGTGTAGCAAATGTCAGTTTTATGGAGTAATGGAAATGTGATGTCATCATGGGAGCTCTCAGTCAAAAAAACGAGGTAATCTTTAGCAGGGCTGGCATCAGTATGGCACTCGAGCTGACTGACAGAATGGTTTTCTAGTGACTGACGCCATATGCCAAGTGTGTGTGTGTGCCAAGGCTGTATCTAAGGTAACAATGTGTGCCTCTGGAGCCTTGTGGCAGTTTAGGGATGATAAATTATGCACTGCAGACTGGACTGGCTCACACTCACTCAACTGTACATCCATAAAATGAAGAAATACACTTTCTTGAAAAAAAAAAAAATCATTTTAATGTTCACAGTTTGCTGAGTGGTGAGCTCAGAAGTTCTGATTATGTTCTGAATAAGTCAGAACTTTTTATCAAGAAAACCCTTTTTGTTTAGTCACATCTGACTATGTGTGAACTAGTGCATTAAAACAAAGTGTATGTAGATATTTATAACAGAACACTAAATATCATTTAAAGAATTTATGCAACAAACTGCAGTAACATAATTTGTCCTCAAAGGGGTCATGAACTGCCTTTTTATTATTTTGTTTCTCTGAGGACCACTTACAATGTTATCAAGATTTTTTACATGAAAAACATAATTTAGAAGTAATAGCTATTTTCTGTCCAGTTTTGACCCCCTCATCAGAACGCTCTGTTTGAATAGGCGTGGCAGATTGTAGACTCAGAAGTAAACGCCCACTATTATGACTGGCTAATAGTTGTGTATGTTTGACAGTGTACACAGATTGACGCTGCTGTGTTTTAAGTTAAAAACGCATAAACACTTATATCAAACGATCTGTAATAACAGACAAAGCAATAGTGACCACGTAATAAAAACAGTTACTCACAACTTGTGTGGTGCGACATTATTGTCGGATCCAATATAGTCGGCACAGCATCATCTTTTAATTTCAACCTTTCTGAAAATCCTGAGTGGAATTGTGCTTTGTTTGTAAACGAATCTGCAGTAAAATTAAGTGAACAAAGGACCGAGTTCTTACTGACACAGTCTGTCACATAATTAAAAATAAAGTTCATCCACTCTTTCCTAACATTGGGATCAGAAAGAAGGCAATGCACAGACTGTTTTTTTTATTATTTCTTTTGAGAAATTTGATTTCTCAGTTCATGACCCCTTTTAAAAGTAGTGATGCACCAACATTTCAATAAACAAGAATATTCAGCGCAAAAAAAAAAGGTTTCAGCCCGAACCCTTGACCAAAACAGTGACAAAAACAGTTAATTAGCATTTCTCCAAAGGTGCGTACACACAATGTGGATAAGCTACGACAAGTAAAAATGTCAGCCGTGTGGATGCAATTCACTGTGACCAAAAATGATGTTAGAATAGCAATGTAAAATCTGTATGGCTGCAATGTCAAAAGGCGGCTACATCACTACTGCATTGATTTCGGTGCATCACTACTGGTAAAAACCTGTAGGCCTACACCTCTACTCCTGAAAACCTATCCATTAGAAATCGCATTCATCTCAATGCCAGTTTGCTTCGTGTAGGTTATAAGTATCCAATTTGAAATCCACCACCTTTGCTCATTGCAGCTCAGATTTAGCCTCCAGACTGCAGGCAACACCACTGTCTCCTTCCTGATTCCTGCAGCGGCCATGCATTCTATGCTGTGCAATGTTACGTGAAGTTTTGCCTGACCTCTCCTCTGTATGACGGTCAGCTGGCAAAAAAATCAAAACCTGCTGCAACGCCCTGGAGCACATTTCTGCTTGTCATGCTAGGCAGTGTCCCGCTCCTTCTCAGCAGGAGCCAAGGGGCAGTCAAATGAGCTCAACGTGGCTTATCTGCACTTCAGATGCATCACACTGTTGTTATTGAAATTCAGACTTGCTTGAGGAATGATGTATGGAACTGCAGAAATGAGTGAACAGATGAGTGCAGTTTGTTAATGGACCACAGAAGCCACCAGACCATGTCAAAATACCAATTCACAGGACAGGCGCTTCTGATAATGAGTGATGTAATGGCTGACAGTCAGAAAATTCAAAAGAACATCTGATCTTTCTTCACAGAGCAAACATTCTTCGCTATTTACACTTGACATTTTGCAAATATTTCAGAGCAAGGTCTGAATCAAAGGTCATTTCTTGTTTGTGTAATTTTGTACTTGGAGATCAAGCACATTTGCGAGGATGAGGTCATTGGCATGTTGAGCTCATTTATTGTAGCTCATTCTTTCAGCATTTATTCCACCACATTTCATCAGCAAAGAGCCAAATAAAGCACACTAGGAGCATACTAGAACTGTGCATGCTAAGCAAATAACATACTACAGATACTCTCTGTTGGGAGTATTGAAGCATAACTCTGTACGCTCAATTAGATCACCTCCTTTTCTGAGAGCAATAAACAACCACAATGGGTAATTACAAGGGAAGCAGACAAGAGCTGTTTCAGACACAAACTCATATAAAACTTCACAGGGGCCTTTGTCTCAGCGGCTTCATTATGGGCTGCAAACTGGACCAAGATGTCTACTGTTCCCTCCCACCTCTCAGTAAAAGAGACAACAAACAATGGGGTTGCCATGGTAAAAGCGGAGCCCTCTGCCTCAGCACGACAGTGGATTAGTCAGTGTGTCAGTTCTGCCTGAGAAGTGTAGTAGCATTTCCTCCAAATGTCCTGCATTCTCACCAAAAGCACAATTGCTAATGCTTGCTAGGTGTGTTAAGATTAGATTCAGCCATCGGTGTGTACTGAGGAGCTTTTCTGGAAAATATTAACTGTAGAAACTTGCTATTTACATATCATCGGAAGACATGCAGAGGCAGCACTCTACATGACATGTACAAACAGAGACAGGGAGTATTTCTTAGAAGGATTCTTTATACTATGATGTGGCTTTCAAGTGGGCATTGCAAACAAATCATGTTAGATCTTTCCTCAGATCTAACTGCACTTTACTTTGGTCTTGAGGTTGTTTTTAGTGGATACACGAAAACAGCTTTCTCGTAAATCCTACTTGGTTTGATATTTTGTTATATAAATGCACGTATTTTTAAGGGTGCTACTGCATCTCACTCACCAGCCTCTCCATTTCTTGCTCTCTGAGTCGTTCTTCTCTTTGGCGCCGGTGGTACTCCAGAAGGTCATCCTCGTTGTCGCTGATCTCTGTGATGCTATTTTTGCGCTCCCTCATGCCAGGGTGAGGCATCCAAAGGTCCCTGTGGCCCGCTGACATCTTTCTGTGGCTCCTAGGACTGGATCGGGGCGATGACCCAGGCAGAGAGCCCAGGCTGAATGTGGAAGAGAGCGAGTTCCCAAAACTGCCCTTCCGTCCACTGCCTTCCCCCATCAGTCCGGATGTGGGTGAAGGACTACGAGCACGCACCCCACGAGGGCTGAATGGCTCCTCTGTAGGAGACCCTGCTTTCCGCCTGAGTCTGGGACTCTCTGGCCCCATTCTTGGGGATGGACTCTCTGGAGTCCGCAGGGTTCCCGGTAGAGCTCCGGGGAGCACAGGAACCCCCCTGCGAGCTATAGAGGGGCTAAGAGGAGGAAGCTCCCTCATGCTACTCCCTTCAAGATTCCTGCGGGCCAGCCGCGGACTTTCTGGAGGCTGCAATATGCGAGGATGTGGGTGTGGAGGTCCACCCTGAATGATGTGGACAATGGGGTCCAAGGGGGGCTGGAAAGATCGCGAGGGTGGGGAGAGTTGATTAGAGGGGCTAGAGGTCAAGGAGCGATCTGGCTGAGGCTGCTCCCGGAAAGGACTTGAGGGCCGATCCTGGAGAACAATGGCAGTTTTGGTTCTAGGACTAGAGGGCGAGGAGGATGGGGATGCGGTTGAGAATTTGGGGGTCAGTCTGGGACTACCTGGAACTGGAACCCGACTGACAGATGGGTGATCAGTCGGAGCAGTAGAGATTGAGACTGAGGGCAGAATGTGAGTCTGTATGGGGCTGTCTGGGGTTTTAGCCACCGAGCTGTCTTGGTTCAACCCACAACGACTTGGCTTTGGGCTTGGAGGTGCTTCTAAAAGAGCCTTTCGCTGGAGTCTGGGACTCTCAGGCACCTTTGGCCCACTGTTGCCACTGGAATAGCTGGGCAGTATGGTTCGTGGCTGAGGTATGGGTGGCTGGCTGGTGTAATTGTAACTAGAAGACCTCACTGGCACAGGAGGAAGCGTGTGAAGCTGGTTCTGACAACCACTTGGAGATGGACTGGTGTAGCTGCCACTGCTGGCAGCGGATGGGGATGAGAGAGGAGAGAAAGGAGGAGAGGTATTCTCATAACTGGAGCCCACAGACATAGCACCAGGGCTCATTGGGGGTGAGAGAAGGAAGCGCCCCCCTCCATTTAACATGGGGGACAAGGGAGACTGGGAGATGGGCAGACCAGAGGGCTTCTTTGACTCAGAGGAAGAGGGCTGAGGGTCATCCATGACTAATGAGTCCATAATGTCCTGAAGGTCCTTCTCAATGGAACTGACGATGGCACTGTGCTCAGGGCGCACTCTCTCGTTGGAGACCAAGTGAGATTTTGGCGCTCCTGACGAGTGGTTCCCATTGATCAGGTTCTCAGAATCTGAAAGAAAAGATAACAGTCATAAGCCTTTGCCATATACAAAAATCAAAATACATATCTTTTAGAACAGCTAAGGTGTAGCTGTAATTAATTAATGAACAAATCTTTCTTCTGAATCAGTGGAAATGGTTCACAAAACCAGTATGAATGATTGGTTCACACATAATATTGAAAGGATTTTTAGTCAACAACTCACCAAATCACTGGAGAACAGTCTTTTTTCAAAATAATGGACAAGCTGATAATGAGTAGTTGGACAGTATTTAAGGATTTAACTGATGGGTAAAAGTAAGTCACTTTAATCGTACAGCAGTATATGCTTGGCATATGGCATCAGTCACTAGAAAACCATTCTGTCAGTCAGCTCGAGTGCCATACTGATGCCAGCCCTGCTAAAGATGACCTCGTTTTTTTTTGACTGAGAGCTCCCATGATGACATCACATTTCCATTACTCCATAAAACTGACATTTGCTACACAGTAAAAGCAGACGTGTCAGTGAGGAAGTACTCTGTTTTAGTGAGAAGTTTATTTACAGAGACAAGGAAATATCATGAAATTTTATGTTACGTGATATTATAAAGACAATTTACGATTCTTCTTAATGCAATAAACCTTGCTGACATCATTTATCATTATAAATAATAATAATGATAAAATTACATAACAATGATAATGAAAGAGTTGGTTTTCAATAAACAGATTTTATAGAAGCTTTAGTCCAAAAAATTAAGTGAATTTTTTATTGTTTCATATAAATGCTAATAATATTAAGGTTTCAAATCACTTAAACGTAATATAAAACCCATAGTAAAACCACCATGTGTGCTTTCATATATCTTTACTTGACCATGAATGTAACGTCAAGATGATAGAGACCATGTGATGACAACTTCATGTAAAAAAAAAAATGCTGGACTGGTTAACTGAAACAATTTGAAAGAATCGATTCTCAATAATGATTCAGAATTCCCATCACTAGCCAGCTGAGCCCAACAGAGTGCAGAAAACAGGAAAAGCACTTACGAGTAAGTGGATGCATTTGGCTTCTTCACCCCACCTAACCCCAACTATTATCCTCAGTACTACACCTGAGCTTTTAATGCAAGTACCTGCAGCTCTTTTGGCACTGCAGAGATGAATTTAATCCATTAGCCCCATTCAACAGCCTCCAAGTTTAACACTGCTGCCAAACACACAGAAGATGAATGCTGAAGTAGTCAAATGAATATGTGCTCATATACGTAAATCATAGAGAGCCCCGCTGGTAATTCAATCTATCTCTCAGGCAACTGACCATTTCCAATGTAAATGGTTCATCTGCTGAGACAGACCCACAAAGTAAAAATGGTCATTATCTAAACCAGTGGTTTTCAAACTGGGGTCCGGTAAACCCCAGGGGGGCTGCAAGTGGGAGCTAGGGGCTGTAAGGTAATATTATTGTAATAATTTCTGAAAATCCTTTTTGGAACAATTTTAACAGTGAAAAGCAATTCAGATCAAATAAATTTGATTAAATTCAAAATACAATTTTACTGAAAATACTCATCCTCAAGTTTAAACATATAACACTAGTCTAATAGTGGAAAGATCAACTTAATAAAAAAGTATTATTCATTTGCTTTGGTTTTATAGAATTACAATACTAAAGCCAATTATTTGATTTTGAAAACAAGACGTTTTGTAATATGATGCTAATTATGTTTCTCAGACAGTATACATGGGCCCGATAACATTTAAATACAAAGCTGATTTTATAATTTAGGAAAGGGTGCAGCAATTATCATATTTGGAGGGCTTTGGCTTCACAAAAGTTTGATCACCTCTGGTCTAATCCACTGTATAAAAAAAAAAAAAAAGCCTAAATAATGCCCAATTTATGATTTTCCCCCTCAATTCATCAGAACATTATTATTTTTCATAAAACACTCCAGATGTAAACGATTTAACACTGCATCAAACTTATTAGATAGGTGCTATATATACAGGTGCATCTCACTAAATTAGAATGTCGTGGAAAAGTTACTGAAATAAATGAACTTTTCCACGACATTCTAATTTATTGAGATGCACCTGTACATAAGACATAAGTAATATATAAACATAAGATTCTGAGTCAGTCACAGAACTGATTTCACAACATCCAAAACTTGATCAATCTTGTTCTTGCCTGCTCAGTGTTTGCGTTTCTGCCACAAATCTCTCCTGATTACAAAACACTCTCTGTTCAAACTCCTCACAAATAATGCATACAACACAACCCCCTTTCCAAGTGTTGTTATTTATTATTTTTTTTATAGTCATCGTGGTTTAGAAATAAGTCAGAGCAGCTGAGGATGCCTCTGGCTCAATTTGCCATTTAAATCCCACTGAAAAAGAAACGGATTCAATAAAGCACAAGCACATAGATACAATGATTATTGAGAAAGACCTTTCATGTGACAAAATGAAACATGTCAACTTGACAAGTAGCGACTATAAAAGGATACATATGCTACATACAGTATGTCCGTATACATACACATACACATATACAGACTATATAACGATCAGTACTTACATATGAGAACACGCTTGTGGAAACGCTAAGCCGCTGCGCTTGGTTTATAACCCATAACCGACCTCAGTATCAAAAGTACGGCTCCCGCATTCCGGTTCTCGAACTAGGCCAGCTGCACCGGCCACACGGTACCCAGGCAGGAGTATAAAACGCCGCAGATGAGATATTCCAGCCGGGCTTGGTGAGCCTGGCGCCGCTACACCATCGGTGAGTCCCCCTCCCTCCCCTGTCCACGGTGCTGATGTGACTGACTGCTGGCTGCACGGGGCGGGGCATACATTCTTAAAGCGACAGTGCACATTTTGAAGATAAATTCACATGGACACTGATGTGACTGTGAGTTTAAAACAAACAAAAAAAAAGTTTATTTGATTCTCAAGATATTGTATATGAGAATTTCTAAACTGGCAGCTGATATGCAGTATATATTAGCTTAGTAATTAATATATAATATAATATAATATAATATAATATAATATAATATAATATAATTTTATTTTAGTTGCCAAGTAATAAGTGGTATAATGTAGACAGACACAGCAATAAAAGCGTATCTGTTAATATATCGCACACTTCTCTGAGTAATACTGAAATATCATCAAGAACATCAAGCAGACCTGCTGTGTGGGAACGAGGCAGCCGGATATTGGGAGAATATGAGGGGAACAGTGAGGAGGGGATTGGAGAGCAGGGTGGGTGGTGAGATAAATATAGATATTGTAAAAGATACCCCTCAACTTTAAATAAGCAGAGCATGGCCAACAAAGCTGTCTGGACTGGAAGAGAGATGGATGAGGAAATAGCTCTGGCACAGAGAACGTGTGAAGGGGGGTTTCTTTTCCTCTATGAATCAGTCTATAAACAAATATCAGTTGCCAAAAGCACATGGACAGCTTTATATACATGCCTTATGTACAAGTGCTGAGATCCATGCATCTTAAATGGATAGCCCACCCCAAAATGAAAAATCTTCTGAAGGTATTTTGAAGAATGTTGATAACTGGTAGCCATTGACTTCCATAGTATATTTTTCCATACTATGGAAGTCAACAGCTACCAGCAACTGTTTGGAACAACTTTAGGGTGAGTAGAATTTTCATTTTTGGGTGAACTATCCCTTTAAGGTGCATGTATCTAAGCTCTTGTACAAAAGGCATCCATAAAGCTGTCCATGTGCTTTTGGCATCTGGAATTTGTTTAAAGACTGATTTATAGAGTCTGAAAAAACGTAATTATTTTAGCTATGTAGTTTTAGATCATTAAGGCACTGGGAAAATAAGAAACAAAAATATATATTGAACAGGAATGCAGCGGGTATGTTGTTTGCAAAAAGAATGTCTTTCATGGTGGAGAGAATTTATTACCAGCTCAGAAAATATACTGCACCAGCTGTGTTTATATGCTATTCTTGTACTTTTCTGCCACACAACAGGAAAAGTCAGGAAAACACCTCAATACATATTGTAAATGTGCTCTGTTTAAACACTGGCTGCTGTGTAGTACTGTGAGTGGGAGTGGAAGATGTAGAGCACTCTGTCAGGAGACCCAGAGGAATGAGCTCCTCATAAAAGTTGCATGGTGCAACTCAGGACCCAGGCAGGCTTGCATTGCTAACAGTTAGAAACGGAAATGCAGTAAGGCCCAGCTGAAAGCCACTACCTGTGCTACTAAAACAAACCTTGCCATTCAGGCATGTGGCAACACCCTATAAGACCAAATCTGCATAAATGGCCCGTTTGTAAATGTGCATCTGTTTCTTATAGCACTTACACAAGAAATAGGTGCTTGTTTGTTTATTTTTAAACATGATATATACATAAAAGACATCTATATGCAACAGAGTGTGTAATATCACAAATGCTCTTCTGTATTGTGATTTCAGACAGTACAAAAATAAGCTTTTGAGGTTCTACAGGAATGTATTTTCCACACAAATGACATCCTGCACAACACAGCCTTTGAGTGCGTTGTGGTAAGCGTTGGATAATTCATGCCACAGTTCAGGTGTGTTCTCCTGTGGGATATTGCATTACCTGTGTGGGCCCAGTTTTTCACACTGGCTGTCTGTGCTCCCTCAGGCATCATGCTTTTCATTCGGAAAGCCTCCTCGGGGTGGTTGAAACGGAAAAAGGCGGATTGGCCGAAACACAGCATACAGCCTGCACACAAAGCAAAACCACTTTTAATGAAGCTGAGAATGAAAATGCATCAAACATATGCCTGAAGAAGTATTTCAAATGATCTTGACTAGGATCCTGGCAGTTTTAGACCAGTTTCGTACCACTGTGTGAGAGGTATGGAGGGGGAAAGGAATGTTTGCCCCTGTTTTACATGAACAAGCAGGAACATCTCACACTGTGGTGTCGGATCAGACTCCTGGCTTGCTGAGTGAGGGGAAAAATAGACAAGCCAAACGCTGGTAGTGAAGCCAGTTAAAGTCAACATGAGATCTAAATTAGCTCTATTTAATACATACATGCTTTCCTGGACTTATAGTGAATTATATCTTTATTATCATGCAACCTTCTGATCATTTTAAACAAATAAATCAATTTTCAATGGATCAGATCAAGTCTTGCCCTGTATATTGGCTTTTTTATATATAAACTGGTACCATATTGGCCAATATTAGTGATTTAAAAAGTCAGTATTGAATATATATTGATATTGTATATTTATTCATGCATGCTCATTTCTGAGCAATGCAGTTGTCTTAATTCATTATCTTTGCTTATGCAGAAAGAGATTGAATCAATTTAATATATAATTAATTTGTGGTTTTTTTATTTGCCATTTATCACTTGTGAATGCTGTTTCATCTTGGCTTTAACTGAGAGGCATATACAAAAAATGCTTTATTGTCACTAATGGAAAATTGACTTAATCTATCAATTTGTTTATCATAATATATAAAGCATATATAAAGAAAACTCCACTTATGTATACAATTACATTGTAATCTCATGCAAAATAAAATGAAAAGCTGATTTTTAAATCCTGCTCTACTTCGCTATCGCTACGATATCTGCCAATATTAGTGATTTAAAATAATAATAAAAAATATACATTCTACAACATTCTAATCTTAATCCCCGTTACACAAAACAATGCAAAAAATAGCTCTTTGGCTATATTAAACTGCCAGAGCTAATCTGGCCAATCACCGTATTTATTCAAGGTAGGTAAAGGTCTCATGGAAACCTTTCCAGCCAGAGCAGATCTGTGATGAATGCAGAGTGCCAGATGCCCTTTTGTTCCAGGCAGAACATTTGATTACCCCTCAGGTTCTGACAAGGCAAGGTACGATTAGGGCACGCAAAGAAAACTAAGATCCTCTGTAGTAAACTAAATCGTGTGCTTAAGTGGTATTCTCACATAGACGTGTTTTCTTTCATGTTGTTACTGAATAGAAGAATGAGGATTGTTAACTGATGGTGGTTGTTGTCATAAAAAGACTCTTCTAGGATTGTTCAAGTCTTGACATGCTCTGCTTGCACATTCAAAGACAAGTAGGCGAAACGAAACAAGCAAATGAAAATACACAAAGCACGTGTTGAACAGAAAGTTATAGTGTTTTAATTAACAGACTTGTTTACATGCTTGCTCATAAAATGTTTTATTTGAAATAACAGTATATTGAGGTCTGTGGTGTAAACCACATCAGCGAGACGTCCTGTTTTTTTGCCTTGTCGAAATCATATCTGAGTGCTTTTACAGACAATAACTGTGGCATCTGCTGCATCAGCACGATCCACCGACCAGCTCAAACATTATTGACAAGCAGCAGCACCAAATAACAAACTCGCATGCGACAGCAGCTTCACTGCCTTCCTATTTTGCGCTACATGCATTGTGCTCAAATTAGTCATTGTAAAAATGTGCCATTAAACATGACGCACAGAAGATAATTGAGTAATGTGGTAAATACACGCTTGTGATGGCAAGCAAACTTGTGCAACTCATCTGCACAGCTGTAAGAGAAAAAGGTTGCAAAACTTTAAAATTACTTGTGTGCAAGATGTTATCCTCAAAACACATCATGTGTTCCATCAGATCAGAGCCTATGGTGCTTGTGTTTGGTTTAACAAAGGCAAAATACTGTTTTTGGACATATTTAGTTTAGAGGGGTTTTCTCTTCAAAATAACTTTGACCAGTATTGTATTTATCATACCGTATCGTAGTGTACTGTATCTCATCATATAATACTATATCATATCTATCGTACCGTACTGTATATATCTATCTATCTATCTATCTATCTATCTATCTATCTATCTATCTATCTATCCATCCATCCATCTATCTATCTATCTATCTATCTATCAGTCTATCTATCTATGTACTCTCTCTCTCTCTCTATCTATGAATCTATATGAATCTATGAATCTATATGAATCTATTAATTTTTCTTTCTTTCTTTCTCTTTCTTTCTTTCTATCTATCTACACACACTCTCTCTCTCTCTATGAATCTATATGAATATATGACTCTATGAATCTTTCTTTCTATCTATCTATCTATCTATCTATCTACTCTGTCTCTCTCTCTATCTATCTATCTATCTATCTATCTATCATCTATCTATCTATCTACTCTGTCTCTCTCTCTATCTATCTATCGATCTATCTATCTATCTATCTATCTACTCTGTCTCTCTCTCTATCTATCTATCTATCTATCAGTCTATGAATCTATCAGTCTATGAATCTATCTACTCTCTCTCTCTCTCTATCTATGAATCTATATGAATCTATGAATTTTTCTTTCTTTCTTTCGTTCGTTCTTTCTTTCTTTCTTTCTATCTATCTACACACTCTCTCTCTCTATCTATCTATGAATCTATATGAATATATTAATTTTTCTTTCTTTCTTTCTTTCTTTCTTTCTATCTACACACTCTCTCTCTATCTATCTATGAATCTATATGAATCTATGAATTTTTCTTTCTTTCTTTCTCTTTCTTTCTATCTATCTACACTGTCTCTCTTTCTATCTATCTATGAATCTATATGAATCTATTAACTTTTCTTTCTTTCTTTCTTTCTTTCTTTATTTCTTTCTTTCTATCTACACACTCTCTCTCTATCTATGAATCTATATGAATCTATGACTCTATCTATCTATCTATCTA